TTGGACCCACGCTGTCATCTTCCTCATTGCAAAGGTTTCCTGAACCGGCCTACCTGTCTCTGTAACTTATGATTCATGTTACTCTATACATATAAGATTTTACAGTTTTTGGAGGATTTTGAACACACTGATGTGTGAGGAAAGCACTCAGTGTTGTTTCAGTCGAACCCCCCCGTTTTTTCACCTGTCAATCTCAAAGTGCTCTCAGCAACAAACTCAGAAATATCTGAGTACTGGCAGAAAGTGACTCATCCTGTGTGTGTGAGCGGTTATGAATCAGGGTGTTTCTGTAACGTGGAGTAGAGCGCCGGTATTTATTTCTGGAGCCAGCGTTCACTCTATTTTTCTTCTCGGGACGTGACTCTGGAAATCCTCCAAGGACACGAAGCGTGCCAACACCTCGGCGCTCTCGCCAGCAGAGCTCTTTCAGACACCCGCCGCACAAAAGAACAAACAGAACAGCGAGTACTGCCGCGGATCAGGTTGTAGGTGCTGGGACTTCTGGGAAACTGGGGGAGCCGTGGGGTACGTGACAGGTCCCGGTCTCTGAGGGACTCTGCACCCTTCTGGGAAAACATATGTGGATGTGAGGACTCGAGGAGTGTTTGACTAACGAATAAAGTTTGATAAAATATTACATCATCATCACAATATGAGCCAGAACAGAACATCCTGCTTCAGTAACACGTCTCCTGTCAGTGCGAAGAAAAACTCACATTTAGCTGTTTATTTTATACACTTTGTCACAAAAGCCTCACTTGCATATTTAAACATAAAATTTCAGAAAACTAAAGTAAAAAATAAGTGAATTTTACAATACATATCTTTAAAGGTTTCTCAAAATGAATTTTCCCTCTGAGCCAGAAATCTCCACTTTGGCACCAGTTTTATTCCCATCTATATTCTGAAGGTTTATACAGGTGGCTGTGTTCCTATATCATTCACAACTTGATTTATTTATTTATTTATTTTGATAAAAAGATCCTTTTGTAAAAACCCTTGACTGTAATATTTCAATAGAATGAAACAATCCAGCGTTCAGATTTCTGTTCTAGAATCATATGAAAATGTGTGTTTTTTAATAGATAACGCCCCATTTGCATATTTAAACATCAAATGTCACTTGTAATACAAAAGATAATTGTTTTAATGGGAAAGTTTCATGCTAATTAAAATGTGGACTCTATTCACCTGTAGTGAATTTCACAATACACACGGAGCTATCAGTTCTGTCAGGACAGTTTGTTATTTTTAATACAAAGCTGAAGTTGACGTGTAAAACGTAGATTCACTTCATCACCATGAACTTCTGAATGAAATCTTTTTTCTTCCTGTTTAACGACTGTATGCAGCACAATCAATGAATTCCAGTTGAACTGCTGTGATCAGTGGATTGTTTAGTGTAACTGAGCCTGTCGAAATGAGTTTATTCCTCTCCAGACAAGAACTGGCAGTAAATTAGACTTCAGATATTTATTGTCATTGTGTCTTTTTGTTGATGGGTTGCTGGTTGAGAGGCAGCAGTGGTCCGATGCCAGATCGCTGAGCTCTCTGTCCAAACTTGCAGCTGTCAAACTGTCTGATATCAACACATCCAAACATCTGCTGGGCGACGAGCCCGTCAGAGCTGCAGCAGGAAGAGGAGGATTACGGTTTGAGACGGAGCAGGTGAAAGTTGATCAGCATTATCTGAGCCTCAGATTAAGCTTCAACACATTAATCCAATCAGGATCTCTGTCCCTGCCAACGCTTCTCGCTCACAGTGGTTTATTCCTTCATGTTCACACAGGCTTTATGGATCCATTTTGTTTGTCACAAACTTCCAGTACGGCACATCATGACTGCTGCAGCATATTAAACTTTTATTAGGTTGTAAAATTAGACATTACTGATGTTACTCTGAAATATCAGACAATAATCTACTCTAAAATCAGGCAATAATCTACAGACAATAATCTACTGTAATATCAGACAATAATCTACAGACAATTATCTACTGTAATATCAGACAATAATCTACCGCTGTTACACTGTAAAAATACTTTGTTGAAGTTGAATTTGACTTGTGTTATGGTTTTATTGAGTGGAGTTGGTATGTGTGTGGAGCAGGACATCCCCAGTAAAGAGACAGCAGTTGTTTTTTGTTGGACATAGACAGGTGATAGTGAGTCTGTCCCTGTGTCCCTGCAGGCTGTGACTCTGGTTTCGGGAAGGCAACAGCAAAGCATCTGGACGCTATGGGCTTCGAGGTGTTTGCCACAGTGTTGGATCTGTCAGGAGACGGAGCCAGAGAGCTGCAGAGGACCTGCTCCGCCCGCGTCACCCTCCTCCAGGTGGACATCACCCAGCCACAGCAGGTCCAACAGGCACTGCTGGACACCAAGGCCAAACTGGGCCTCAAAGGTAAAGACTGGCTGCTGGAACCAAACCCTCTTGTCTTCTGATAAACAAAGCCTCTTTTATTTATTTGTTATTGTCCCACGTTAATGTTTAATTCATTTATTCTCAGATAGAGATACAACATCATCTGGCCATTTGATTGGGTTGATTTTATCTGATCATCATCAATTAATTATCAATCAACAATCAATATCACTTAGTCAGTATTTTAGGAATATGTGAGAGTAACTGAGAGTGTCTGAGAGTATCTGAGAGTGTCTGAGAGTAACTGAGAGTAACTGAGAGTGTCTGATATGGGAACCACTCTCAACGCTTCACTAGCTTCAAGAATCACTCATCAGTTTCTGTGAGACTCTCAGTGAACACTTCTCTTAAGAGGATTAAGCTTCGATCAGTTCACTCTACTAGACACTCTCAGGATAACTCTCAGACCGGAGCCCCTCAGTTTACTCTTTCTACCATATTCCTAGAAATACTGACTAATGATATTTGATTGAATGATTGATCAATTAATTGATGGAATGATCAGATAACAATATTTCAAAACCCAATCAAAATGGCCAGATTGGATGTTAAGATATATCTCATATCTGAGAATTAAGCATGAATTAAACAATTAACGTGGGGACAATAACAAAAAGAGGTAAATAGAGCTTTCCGTTTATCAGAAGACAAGAGGGTTTGGTTCCAGCAGCCGAGTCTATTACCTGTGGAGCCAGTTTGCCCTTGGTAGATCCAGCAGTGTGTCCGGTTGGACCTGCTGTGGCTGTATGTGATGTCCACCTGGTAGGAGGGTGACGGGGGCGAGCAGTCCTCTGCAGCTCTCTGCTCCGTCTTCCTGGGACAGGATCCAACATCAAGTGGCAAAACACCTCGAAAGTTCCCATAGCCCGTCTCAGAGTGCTTTTTTGCTGATTGCCTTCTCCGAAACCAGAGTCACAGCCCTTCAAGGAACACAGGACAGACTCACCTATCACCTGTCTATGCGCGAACAAAAAAAACAACTGCTGTCTCTTTACATGGGAGATGTCCTGCTCCACACACATACCGAAACTTCTCATCAGAACAAAACCGCTAAATACACACAAGTCAAATTCAACTTTTCACAAAGTATTTTAATACGAGTTAACAGCGTGGTAAGATTATTGTCTGAATATTTATGTAGAATAATTGTCTGGTAGTTATTATGTACTGATTATTAAACAGTAGATTATGTCTGTAGACTATATTGCTCTGTGAGTTGTTTCAAGAGTAGAGTTATAAATGTCTGGCCATAGTTCAGCAGTATCATAACAGTAATGTCTATTTTATGATCAAACCTTAATAAAGTTGAGTAAAATAGCGCAGCAGTCATGATTTGTCCGTACTGGAAGTTAAGTGTGACAGACACAATAAAAACCTGGATTCCATAAAGCCATGTTGTAGTTGAACATATAGAAGGAAATTAAACATGCGTGAATAGAAGAGAACCCGTTGGCAGGTGACGAGATGCCTGATTGGATTAATGGTGTGTGTGAAGGCGGTAGGAGTGCGTGCGTGACGAGATAATAGCTGGATCAACTTTCACCTGGTCTCCGTCGCAAACGGTGCTGTGAAGCCTCGACATGCCTGCTGCGCTCCTGAGATGCGAAGTCCGTACGCCCAGCAGATGTTTGGTATCGTGTTGGAGGTATCAGACAAGTTTTGAAGCAGAAGCATGTCTTCCGACCTCTCGAGTATATGCTTCCACGCTGATCTTCCGGCATCGGGACCAGTTTCTGTTGCCTCAGAGGATCAGAACTCTGCGATTAAGATCCGATCAACAAAAGACACAAATGAACATGTATGATATATATGTATAGTCTATAGGTTAACAGCCGCAGTTCTTGTGGAGAGGAAATCAATTTGAGTCTGGCAATTGATCGGACAACATACTCAAGATTGTATCAACTAAAATCAAAATCACCTCTGAATCCACAGCAGTTACAACTAGGATATTCATATGTAGTGTGCTTGTAACATATAGTTCCTGTATACCAACAGGAAAGGAAAAAAGATTTCTTCAGAAGTTTCATGGTGAAAATGAAGTGAATCTACGTTGATTTACACTCAACCTTCAGCGGTTGTATTAAATGAATAACAAACTGTACCTGACAGAACATGATAATTAAGCTCCGTGTGTATTGTGAAATTCACTAACAGCGAAGTATGGATAACCACATTTTAATAATATAAGCATGCAAATAGCTTTCACTATTGAAACAATTATCTTCAATGTATTATATAATACCCAAGTGACATGTTGATGTTTATAAAATATGCACGTTTAGATGGCAGATCAATGGCGCATAGATGGATCTGACTTATATTAAAAACACACATATGTTTCATAATGTTATCTCATGATGTACCAAGAAATCTGAACGCTGGAAATTTGTTTCGCAATAATTCTATCTGATTCTTAATATTACAGTCAAAGATGGTATCTTTACAGCAAAAGAGATTCTTTTTATTCAAAACATAATATAGAAGTATAATAAATCTAAATTCAGTTAAGTGAGATGATATAAGGGATATCAAGCTCATCTGGTGTATAAATATCCTTCAAGTAGGACATATATATATGAATGGTATTCAATAAAACT